GGGCAAAAATAAAAAGTTATAAGACTTTGAAATATGTGGATTTTAGGGTTATCTTTGGCGCCCCCTAGAACCTAAACCGTGGGGTGCAGCATAATGATTTGAATAACTTTTAATGGCCATGGGGTGTAGATTGGCCTGAGCAAATGTGGTGCCGGTGGAACAAAAGCCTTCGGAGGAGTTAGCGAAATTCCAATGTGTGCGGATCGGCAAAAAATGCGCAATAACCCTTTAACCGTACATTTGACAGATACGCCCGCACTGACTTTTTTGTAGATCTTATTGAGATACATGTGTGTGTCAATTTTTGTGTCATTTTGACAAAGCGTACAGGCGTCAGGTGAATTTTTCACCTTAGGGGGCGCTATGGAGCCATTTTGCATTGTATTGTTTGGGCGACTTCAGAATATCAAATTTTTCACCAGGCCCGGTCGTCCTGCCAAATTTCATGAGTTTTCGCCAGTGGGAAGTGGGCCATTTTCCAGTTCAAAGGGGAGGAAAAAGAAAAACTAGGACCCCGTTGGGGCACTGGCGGGCCCGAGCCGTGTCGCGCCAGCCTCGTGAGTGCCTAGCCTATTGGATATCACTGTCACCTACACAGGACAGTCATTACCTTTCTATTAATACTTTGTGTTTTAATTTCACATTAATTTCCATATTGTATAAACGACTGGAAAAAACTTGAGCCCCTGCCCCTGTATAATCATGTGCATGTCTCTGTTCTAGCTCCAAGGTGAATCTTCACTGCTCATGTTCTCCTCAGAAGCACTCACCTCACTCCCCTCAGGTTACTGTACACATGCACCAACTGCCTGCTTCAGGTTTGGATGGAGCTTCATGGTTGTCTTTTGGAGAAATGACCAGTCAAGTTGTGTTTGAAATTTGATTTTTTTCAGGGGCAAAAGGAGCCTCTGCATTCTTGTCAAATATGTAAATAGCATGTTTTTGCAGGTGCTAAAAACCAGACTCTGAGTGTGTGTGTGTGTGTGTGTGTGTGTGTGTGTGTGTGCGTGTGTGTGTGTCTGTGTGTGCGTTCAAGTCACATGACATATTTAACCGGATGTAGCTGCAAGACGGAGCCTCGTTGACTCTCCGTTTCAACTTATCTCAAAAGTGAGGACCTCAACCTATATACCAGTTTTTAAATTGTGTTGATAGGCCAAATAAAACCAGAGTTATGATAAATTATGTCCGCGATACTTTTTTTCTGCTTATTTTGATCACGTTCGGCGCTCGATCGCGCTGTAAGAGACAGGAAAACATAGCTTGCAGACATTAGCGACAGCTCTTACAGGCGGAAAAGGCTTGCCAAAGGAAAAAAAAAACACACCACAACATCTCTCCTATTGGTGGAAAACTTCACCACAACAACCAATCCAAAATTATATGGTGACTGATTGACAAGGGGCGGGCGCTTACATTCTTCCTGCAACATGAGAAGGGAGGGAGGGACTCTCAGCAGGGATGCAGTCTGGGACACGTAGTTGCAAACCTAGCGACTTTGTTGTTAGATTCAATGACTTTTCAGACCCCCTAATGACTTTTTTTTAGAAAGAAAGGGACTTTTATCGACTTCTTCTGGAGTTTAGAGACTCTGACATGAAGCAGGCTTTCCTTACTGAGGAGTTAGCAACGCTGCTAAGGGTGCAGAGCCACACATGCGCTCCGAGCTCTGCATGGGAGACTGAAGCTGACAGAGCTGCAGCAGTTAGCAGGTTTCACCCTCAGAGACCACCAGGGGTTCATGTTGAGGCATTTTAATTTTTTTTTTTTTGTGCCATAGACACTGTCAGCACAATCTGCAGTTACACTAACAAAAATGCTGCAAAAAACAAAGAATTATGGAAAAATTACACATGGACTGACATAGAGGAGGATCTACACAAGTTTTTTACATCATGTTTTACATCATGCATCATTTACATCATGTTTTTTTGTAGTGGCATAAATAAAAAGTGACATTTGTGAGACTATACAGTGTTTTGTAAATAATTTTACAAAGAACGCCTGGGCCATTGCCTGCATTTTGATGTAAATAGAGGTAAATTACTATGTTCTTTGTTAAAAATTTGCATATGTTTTGAAGTTTACAATTTTTATTTGAAGTTTAAGTTTTAAAAACAGTTCATCACACATATTTGTGGTTTAATTTCACATTAATTTCCATATTGTATAAATGACTGGAAAAAACTTGAGCCCCTGCCCCTGTATAATCATGTGCACGTCCCTGTTCTAGCTCCAAGGTGAATCTTCACTGCTCATGTTCTCCTCAGAAATAGTCACCTCACTCCCCTCAGGTTACTGTACACATGCACCAACTATCTGCTTCAGGTTTGAAATGGAGCTTCATGGTTGTCTTTTGGAGAAATGAACAGTCAAGTTGTGTTTGAAATTTGATTTTTTTCAGGGGCAAAAGGAAGCCTCTGCATTCTTGTCAAATATGTAAACAGCATGTTTTTGCAGGTGCTAAAAAACAGACTCTGAGTGTGTGTGTGTGTCTGTGTGTGTGTGTGTGTGTGTGTGTATGTTGGCGTGTGTGTATATGTGTGTGTATCCTGCAGTACTCTGTACTCCTGCAGTGGCCAAAAAGACTTTTAAGAATGTGGATTTTTGGGTCATCTTTGGCGCCCCCTAGAACTGCAGTACTCTGTACTCCTGCAGTGGCCAAAATGACTTTTAAGAATGTGGATTTTTGGGTCATCTTTGGCGCCCCCTAGAACGTAAACCGTGGGGTGCAGCGTCATGATTTTTACAACTATGAATGGGCATGGGGTGTAGATTGCCCTGAGCAAATTTGGTATCGGTGGGACGAAAGCCTTAGGAGGAGATAGCCACATTCCAATGTGTGCGAATCGGCAAAAAATGCAAAATAGCCCTTTAACCGTACATTATACAGATACGCGCTCTTTGACTTTTTCGTAGATCTAATTGAGATACACATGATTGTCAATTTTTGTGTCAATATGACAAAGCGTTCAGGCGTGACACTCAACAATGTGTATTTTTATGTAAGGGGACAAGAAAAAATTGACTTTTTTCTCCTACCATGGGGGGGCGCTCTTTTGGGGAGTAAAAATTCCTTCACAAATGTGTTGATGGCTGGACATTGCATCATCCTAGAAAACTTGGAGGCCAGTGAGGACAAAAATAAAAAGTTATAAAACATTTAAGAATGTGGATTTTTGGGTTATTTTTGGCGCCCCCTAGAACCTAAACCATGGGGTGCAGCATCATGATTTGAATAACTTTTAATGGCCATGGGGTGTAGATTGGCCTGAGCAAATGTGGTGCCGGTGGAACGAAAGCCTTCGGAGGAGTTAGCGAAATTCCAATGTGTGCGGATCGGCAAAAAATGCGGAATAACCCTTTAACTGTACATTTGACAGATACGCGCGCATGGACTTTTTTGTAGATCTTATTGAGTTACATGTGTGTGTCAATTTTTGTGTCATTTTGACAAAGCGTATAGGCGTGACACTCAACAATGTGTATTTTCACCTTAGGGGACAAGAAAAAATGGACTTTTTTCTCCTGCCATGGGGGGGCGCTCTTTTGGGGAGTAAAAATTCCTTCACAAATGTGTTGCTGGCTGGACATTGCATCATCCTAGAAAACTTGGAGGCCAGTGAGGACAAAAATAAAAAGTTATAAGACTTTTAAATATGTGGATTTTAGTGTTATCTTTGGCGCCCCCTAGAACCTAAACCTTGGGGTGCAGCGTCATGATTTTGATAACTTTTAATGGCCACGGGGTGTAGATTGGCCTGAGCAAATGTGGTGCCGGTGGAACGAAAGCCTTCGGAGGAGTTAGCGAAATTCCAATGTGTGCGGATCGGCAAAAAATGCGAAATAACCCTTTAACCGTAATTTTGACAGATACGGCCGCACTGACTTTTTTGTAGATCTTATTGAGATACATGTGTGTGTCAATTTTTGTGTCAATATGACAAAGCGTACAGGCGTGACAGTCAATAGTGTGAATTTCCACCTTAGGGGGCGCTATGGAGCCATTTTGCATTTTATTGTTTTGGCGACTTCAGAATATCGAATTTTTCACCAGGCCCGGTCGTCCTGCCAAATTTCATGAGTTTTCGCCGGTGGGAAGTGGGCCATTTTCCAGTTCAAAGGGGAGGAAAAAGAAAAAAGAAAGAAAGAAACAAAGAAAAACCACTTGGGGAATAATAGGGCCTACGCCCGGCTGCTCTGCAGCTGGCTCGGGCCCTAAAGAAACAAAGAAAAACCACTTGGGGAATAATAGGGCTCTCGCAGCTGCTTAGCAGCTACGCTCGGGCCCTAACTAGGGCCCCGTTGGGGCACTGGCGGGCCCGAGCCGCGTCGCGCCGCCCCCAGCGCGACCGCCTCCCTGTCCCATTCACGTCCTCTGGCTGTCGCCCTCTCTGGTGACGCCCATCACTGCAAAGACCCTTTTCCTTCATCTGTGTTAGCTGTTCTTCCTGCCAGTGCATGTTGCTTTCACTTACACTTGCCACAGCCAGCCTTGTGAGTGCCTAGCCTATTGGATATCACGGTCACCTACACAGGACAGTCATTACCTTTCTATTAATACTTTGTTTTTAATTTCACATTAATTTCCATATTGTATAAACGACTGGAAAAAAACGTGAGCCCCTGCCCCTGTATAATCATGTGCACGTCCCTGTTCTAGCCCCAAGGTGAATCTTCACTGCTCATGTTCTCCTCAGAAGCAGTCACCTCACTCCCCTCAGGTTACTGTACACATGCACCAACTGCCTGCTTCAGGTTTGGATGGAGCTTCATGGTTGTCTTTTGGAGAGATGAGCAGTCAAGTTGTGTTTGAAATTTGATTTTTTTCAGGGGCAAAAGGAGCCTCTGCATTCTTGTCAAATATGTAAATAGCATGTTTTTGCAGGTGCTAAAAAAAAGACTCTGAGTGTGTGTGTGTGTGTGTGTATCCTGCAGTACTCTGAGAAGAATAAGCATATTTCTGAGGTGAATTTTGAAGATTCATCTGAGAGTCAGGAGGGCTGATCATTCCCTTACCCTTTAGATGTCTGTCTATGTCTGTTTTTGTGTAAGAATGAAAGAATCCCAACACAAAAAGGCTCTGTTGATGTTTTTTTTTGTTGTTCATTCATATTCAAACCACTATTTTATATCACTGCTAATACGCCAAGACCATTTTATGGTATTTAGCTTTATTATTTCTATGCATTTTGCAAGGACAGAAACCAAGGCCTTCACTAAAATTTCCATAAACTTTAGGAAAGGACCTCTGGTTGTTTAAGGGGGTCATTACTGCAAAAACATATTCTTCCTAAATTTTGAAGCTCAAACCTTAGATCCATTAGGTTTAAATAGAAAAAGCATTAAAATATGTTAGGATTATAGCATGTGACAAATGTGTGCCTCTCAATGGCCATAACTACTTTGTCTGCTGGCTCTGCAGTCGATTGACGCTCCCCAGCGTTCAAGTCACATGACATATTTAACCGGATGTAGCTGCAAGATGGAGCCTCGTTGACTCTCCGTTTCAACGTATCTCCAAAGTGAGGACCTTAAACTATATACCAGTTTTTAAATTGTGTTGATAGGCCAAATAAAACCAGAGTTATGATAAATTATGTCTGCGATACTTTTTTTCTGCTTATTTTGATCACGTTCGGCGCTCGATCGCGCTGTATGAGACAGGAAACCATAGCATGCAGACATTAGCGACAGGTCTTACAGGCGGAAAAGGCTTGCCAAAAGAAAAAAAAACACACCACAACATCTCTCCTATTGGTGGAAAACTTCACCACAACAACCAATCCAAAATTATATGGTGACTGATTGACAAGGGGCGGGCGCTTACGGTCTTCCTGCAACATGAGAAGGGAGGGAGGGACTCTCAGCAGGGATGCAGTCTGGGACACGTAGTTGCAAACCTAGCGACTTTGTTGTTAGATTCAATGACTTTTCAGACCACCTAACGCCTTTTTTTTTTAGAAAGAAAGGGACTTTTATCGACTTCTTCTGGAGTTTAGAGACTCAGACATGAAGCAGGCTTTCCTTACTGAGGAGTTAGCAACGCTGCTAATGGTGCAGAGCCACACATGTGCTCCGAGCTCTGCATGAAGCTGACAGATCTGCAGCAGTTAGCAGGTTTCACCCTCAGAGACCACCAGGGGTTCATGTTGAGGCATTTTCAGTTTTTTTTTTTTTTTGCCATAGACACTGTCAGCACAATCTGCAGTTACACTAACAAAAATGCTGCAAAAAACAAAGAATTATGGAAAAATTACACATGGACTAACATAGAGGAGGATCTACACAAGTTTTTTACATCATGTTTTACATCATGCATCATTTACATCATGATTTTTTGTAGTGGCATAAATAAAAGTGACATTTGTGAGACTATACAGTGTTTTGTAAATAATTTTACAAAGAACACCTGGGCCATTGCCTGCATTTTGATGTAAATAGAGGTAAATTACTATGTTCTTTGTTAAAAATTTGCATATGTTTTGAAGTTTACAATTTTTATTTGAAGTTTAAGTTTTAAAAACAGTTCATCACACATATTTGTGGTTTTCACAGTAAAAATGTTACTTTTTTCCACTCGGATTTTATGTTTTGTGTGTGAATTTTGGTCCATTGTGTAAATACAGTATGTCAAAATGATAAAATAACTGTAAATTCACACAGGTGAGGTTGTGCTGAAAAAAATGATACCAGGCAAGGCAAGGTAAAAAAAATTTAAGAGGAAATATAAAGGTAAAATCTAAAGTAGTCAAAAACGGCCAATAGTGACTTCCAGACTCAATAGACAAGTCCCTTTGGCGCCACTCAGTGGGCAAAACTACTTTGTCTGCTGTAATGTATATTTGGGTCATCTTTGGCGCCCCCTAGAACCTAAACCGTGGGGTGCAGCGTCATGATTTTTACAACTTTGAATGGCCATGGGTTGTAGATTGGCCTGAGCAAATTTGGTGTCAGTGGGACGAAAGCCTTAGGAGGAGTTGGCCACATTCCAATGTGTGCGAATCGGCAAAAAATGCGAAATAGCCCTTTTACCGTACATTATACAGATACGCGCTCTTTGACTTTTTCGTAGATCTTATTGAGATACACGTGATTGTCAAATTTTGTGTCAATATGACAAAGTGTTCAGGCGTGACACTCAACAATGTGTATTTTCATGTTAGGGGACAAGAAAAAATGGACTTTTTTCTCCTGCCATGGGGGGGCGCTCTTTTGGGGAGTAAAAATTCCTTCACAAATGTGTTGATGGCTGGACATTGCATCATCCTAGAGAACTTGGATGCCAGTGAGGACAAAAATAAAAAGTTATAAGACTTTTAAGACTGTGGATTTTTGGGTTATCTTTGGCGCCCTCTAGAACCTAAACCGTGGGGTGCAGCGTCATGATTTGTACAACTTTGAATGGCCATGGGAGGTAGATTGGCCTGCGCAAATGTGGTGCCGGTCGAACGAAAGCCTTCGGAAGAGTTAGCGAAATTCCAATGTGTGCAGATCTGCAAAAAATGCGAAATAACCCATTAACCGTACATTTGACAGATACGCCCGCGCTGACTTTTTTGTAGATCTTATTGAGATACATGTGTGTGTCAATTTTTGTGTCATTTTGACAAAGCGTACAGCCGTCATGTGAATTTTCACCTTAGGGGGCGCTATGGAGCCATTTTGCATTTTTTTGTTTGGGCGACTTCAGAATATCGAATTTTTCACCAGGCCCGGTCGTCCTGCCAAATTTCCTGAGTTTTCGCCAGTGGGAAGTGGGCCATTTTCCAGTTTAAAGCGGAGGAAAAATAACGAAAGAAGAATCCATCAGGAACAAGAGGGCTCTCGCAGCTGCTTAGCAGCTACGCTCGGGCCCTAAAGAAAGAAAGAAAGAAGAAAGAAGAACCCATACAGGAATAATAGGGCTCTACGCCCGGCTGCTCTGCAGCTGGCTCGGGCCCTAAAAAACCACTACAGGAATAACAGGGCCTACGCCCGGCTGCTCTGCAGCTGGCTCGGGCCCTAAAAACCACTACAGGAATAACAGGGCCTACGTCCGGCTGCTCTGCAGCTGGCTCGGGCCCTAAAGAAAGAAAGAAACAAAGAAAAACCACTTGGGGAACAACAGGGCTCTACGCCCGGCTGCTCTGCAGCTGGCTCGGGCCCTAAAGAAACAAAGAAAAACTCATCAGGAACAACAGGGCTCTCGCAGCTGCTTAGCAGCTACGCTCGGGCCCTAATGAGGTGTTAGGATATGAAATAATATGATATGAGTTGATAGGATATGAGATGATAAGGAACAATACAAAACTAGGGCCCCGTTGGGGCACTGGCGGGCCCGAGCCGTGTCGCGCCGCCCCCAGCGCGACCGCCTACCCCTCTTGATCGCGTCACACTCAAGGTCCAAAGATGGTGTGCGCACTTGTCTGTGGTCATTTACCATTATAATGAATGGGAGGTGCAGTTTCTACCAAAACGCTCGCTGCAGACAAACTCCATGTCCTTTTTGAAAAAAGTCTGGACCATGAGTGAGGGCACAAACACAGCTAGTATATATCCAAATGGCAAGTTGCTCCTCCTTTCGGTTTTGCCGAGAGAGCGATGCTTTTGAGCCATTGAGCGATGGGCAGGAAAAACTTGACTTTTTCTCCTGCCATGGGGGGGCGCTCTTTTGGGGAGAAAAAATTCCTTCACAAATGTGTTGATGGCTGGACATTGCATCATCCTAGAAAACTTGGAGGCCAGTGAGGACAAAAATAAAAAGTTATAAGACTTTTAAAAATGTGGATATTTGGGTCCTCTTTGGCACCCCCTAGAACGTAAACTGTGGGGTGCAGCGTCATGATTTGTACAACTTTGAATGGCCATGGGGTGTAGATTGACCTGAGCAAATTTGGAGCCGATGGGACAAAAGCTTTAGGAGGAGTTAGCCACATTCCAATGTGTGCGAATCGGCAAAAAATGCGAAATAGCCCTTTAACCGTACATTGAACAGATACGCTCGCATTGACTTTTTCGTAGATCTTATTGAGATACATGTGTGTGTCAAATTTTGTGTCATTTTGACAAAGCGTAAAGGCGTGACAGTCAACAATGTGTATTTTCGCCTTAGGAGACAAGAAAAAATGGACATTTTTCTCCTGCCATGGGGGGCGCTCTTTTGGCGAGTAAAAATTCCTTCACAAATGTGTTGATGGCTGGACATTGCATCATCCTAGAGAACTTGGAGGCCAGTGAGGACAAAAATAAAAAGTTATAAGACTTTTAAGACTGTGGATTTTTGGGTTATCTTTGGCGCCCCCTAGAACGTAAACCGTGGGGTGCAGCGTCATGATTTGTACAACTTTTATTGGCCATGGGGTGTAGATTGGCCTGAGCAAATGTGGTGCCGGTGGAACGAAAACCTTTGGAGGAGTTAGCGAAATTCCAATGTGTGCGGATCGGCAAAAAATGCGAAATAAACCTTTAACCGTACATTTGACAGATACGCCCGCACTGACTTTTTTGTAGATCTTATTGAGATACACGTGTGTGTCAAATTTTGTGTCATTTTGACAAAGCGTACAGGCGTGACACTCAATCATGTTAATTTTTCACCTTAGGGGGCGCTATGGAGCCATTTTGCATTTGATTTTTTGGGCGACTTCAGAATATCGAATTTTTCACCAGGCCCGGTCGTCCTGCCAAATTTCATGACTTTTCACCAGTGGGAAGTGGGCCATTTTCCAGTTCAAAGGGGCAGAAAAATAATAATAAGAAGAAGAAGAACTAGGGCCCCGTTGGGGCACTGGCGGGCCCGAGCCGTGTCACGCCGCCCCCAGCGCGACCGCCTCCCCCACCCGATCGCGTCACACTCAAGGTCCAAAGATGGTGTGCGCACTTGTTTGTGGTCAATTACCATTATAATGAACGGGAGGCGCAGTTTCTACCAAAGCGCTCGCTGCAGAAAAACTCCATGTCCTATTTGAAAAAAGTCTGGACCATGAGTGAGGGCACAAACACAGCTAAGATATATCCAAATGGCAAGTTGCTCCTCCTTTCGCTTTTGCCGAGAGAGCAGTGCGTTTGAGCCATTGAATGATGAACAGGAAAAACTTGACTTTATTCTCCTGCCATGGGGGGCGCTCTTTTAACGAGAAAAAACTCCTTCACAAATGTGTTGATGGCTGGACATTGCATCATCCTAGAAAACATGGAGGCCAGTGAGGACAAAAATAAAAAGTTATAAGACTTTTAAATATGTGGATTTTAGGGTTATCTTTGGCGCCCCCTAGAACCTAAACCGTGGGGTGCAGCGTCATGATTTGAATAACTTTTAATGGCCATGGGGTGTAGATTGGCCTGAGCAAATGTGGTGCCGGTGGAAAGAAAGCCTTCGGAGGAGTTAGCGAAATTCCAATGTGTGCGAATCTGCAAAAAATGCGAAATAACCCTTTAACCGTACATTTTACAGATACGTGGCCATTGACTTTTTCGAAGATCTTATGGAAATACACGTGTATGTAAAATTTTGTGTCAATACGACAAAACATACAGGCGTAGCACTCAACAATGTGTATTTTCACCTTAGTGGACAAGAAAAAATGGACTTTTTTCTCCTGCCATGGGGGGGCGCTTTTTTGGCGAGTAAAAATTCCTTCACAAATGTGTTGATGGCTGGACATTGCATCATCCTAGAAAACTTGGAGGCCAGTGAGGGCAAAAATAAAAAGTTATAAGACTTTTAAATATGTGGATCTTAGGGTTATCTTTGGCGCCCCCTAGAACCTAAACCGTGGGGTGCAGCGTCATGATTTGAATAACTTTTAATGGCCATGGGGTGTAGATTGGCCTGAGCAAATGTGGTGCCGGTGGAACGAAAGCCTTCGGAGGAGTTAGCGAAATTCCAATGTGTGCGGATCGGCAAAAAATGCGAAATAACCCTTTAACCGTACATTTGACAGATACGCCCGCACTGACTTTTTTGTAGATCTTATTGAGATACATGTGTGTGTCAATTTTTGTGTCATTTTGACAAAGCGTACAGGCGTGACAGTGAATAGTGTGAATTTTCACCTTAGGGGGCGCTATGGAGCCATTTTGCATTTTCTTGTTTGGGCGACTTCGGAATATCAAATTTTTCACCAGGCCCGGTCGTCCTGCCAAATTTCATGAGTTTTCGCCAGTGGGAAGTGGGCCATTTTCCAGTTCAAAGGGGAGGAAAAATAATAATAATAACAAAAGAAGGAAACTACAGGAACAAGAGGGCTCTCGCAGCTGCTTAGCAGCTACGCTCGGGCCCTAAAGAAGAATCCATCAGGAATAATAGGGCTCTCGCAGCTGCTTAGCAGCTACGCTCGGGCCCTAATGATCAACATGAGACAGGTGACAGATAGACACTATGATATGAGACGATACCAGAAGACATGAGATGAGATGGTAGGGTATAATACCATTAAACATGAGATAATATGATATGAGACACTTAAGTACATCCAGAGTTATACCAATAAATGAATTACGGTAGAAGAAAACTTGTAGATGTTCTTAAAAGAGACAAGTATGCATGGATATGGGTGGTTCATGTGTGTTAACATTAACATTAACATTATTTTCGTTGATGCGTTCATCTGGAACATGTTGACCCGTCCCATATTTATAGAACTCATCGTTTCGATTGGTTGTCAGTGGTGCACCATGATGATATCTAATCAGAATGATCTGTTGTGCTTTTTGTATCTCTGTGTTCTCACCTCAGATATTTTCCTGCTGACACATGAAAGCATGATCAGATTTTTCTCCCCTGACTCAAACTTGTGAAAGTTTTCTCTGTGACAGTTTCTGTAAGCGAGCTCAGCGCTGCCTCTGAGTGTGAAAGACAGACTCCCGGTGACTATAGATTTTTTTTATAACTTTTATGTTACCCGGGCAATGTTGATGGAAAACACTTGCTTGTTTACAGCCATGCCCCGCTTTATAGCTTCGCGTCTCGGAGCTGCAGCTCCGTGCAACTGCAGCCCTCTGCAGATTGACAGCTCGGGGGATGAAAAACTGTGCGTAGCAATCAGCGAGCAGGTCTGTGGAAGAAAGCAGGCAAGTTTTGTTTCTTGCTGCAGAGGACATGTGGTGAGCGCCTCAAAAAGAGTTTGAGAGTTTGCCGTCAGTTGGATTTGGACCTCCAGAATCAGAGAACAGTAAAGGAAAGACTGAAGGTTTAGATATGGAAGAAATGATTAGGGAAAGGATATGATGAAACCACACAAATCTAGAACATGATGGAGCATGATAGAACAATATCCTGGCTTTCTCAGATTTATAATTTGAGGGTTATGAAGAAGGTGAATCCATCTTCTTTGCAGTTTTTTTTCACCTGCTGTCAGCGATCCCTCAGTTGCATTTGTCCGACCACGGCTACTGCCTCCTTAAATGCAGGAAGAAATGGTTTAAAGGTCGTTGATCGCTGCACTATGGAGTCTAGACTGAATCTGATTTTATTATTTGGTGTGAAATGTTGTGTTTTAACTTGTGCTGAATGTACAACAAATGACCTGAACGTTTCTGTGGACAGAAAAAAAAAAAGTTTTAAGATACACTGACATCATTCTCTCAACCTGCATGTGACAGTTATTGTTTCTATGTATTGTTAATGCTCAAAGATGGCAGGATACCATTGAATCTGATGAGCATGTTTAGAAGGAAACAGAGTTTGCAGTG